GTTTTAACTGATTCATAAAAGACCTAGGACCCTTGGCTGCTAACTAAAAGGTTAGTGGTTCAAACCCACCCAGTGACTCTGTGGGAAGAAGACCTGGTTGCCTGCTTCCAAAAAAGGTGACATCCAAGAAAAGCTATGACATCCAAGAAAAGTTCTACTGTGTCACATGTATCAGAAGGCACTCGATGACATATAACACCAGTGTGGGTAACTCCAGCCCCAAGTAGGGCGGTCACCTTTGTTTAGGACTCCTTGCTAAAGGACATAGTACAGAGTGCACTGAAACATCCTATTTCCCCCACACACTGAACTTACCCCTCCCTCCTTCCAGTTGTCTGAGAAGCAGCACAGGGGTAGGTGTGCCACATGCGCACACTACTTTGGAACAAGAAGCAAAAGGAAGCCCTGCACAGACACCCGTCTGCCCAATAGGAGTTCAAGATGGTCCGTGTTATCCCCTTAAAAAAAACCAGTGCCGTCAACGGCATCGTGGTGACGAGCTGGACCAGCCACTTCATGGAAGAAAGACGGGCTTTCCACTTCAGTAGAGATCTACAGTCTCAAAGACGACAAGAACAAATCTCCCGAAGAACCGATGCATTTGAATCGTGGTGCTGGCAAAGAACCCTGAAAGTACCACGGACTGCCAAAAGGCTTGACTGCCCTGCCTTGGGAGAAGTACAGCCAGCAGTCTTCTTGGAGGCAAGGATGCTGAGACGCTGTCTTACAAACTTTGGACATGATGTCAGGAAAGCCCAGTCCCTGGAGAAGGACATCATGTTTGGGGCAGCGAAAGAGAGGAAGATGCTCAACCAGATGTACTGGCACAATGACTGCATCAATGGCTCGGGCATAGGAACGTGGTGAGGATGGCGCAGGACTGCCTGGGCAGGCTTTCATTCTGTGGGGCTCAGGGTCCCTCTGGGTCAGAGGTGACAGGAAGGCACCTCACAGCAACAAACACCATGCCTGTGCTTATAACCCCCATGGGAATGGACAGTCTTTGTTAAGGAGGCACGATTAGTGGAGGGTGTGTCTCAAATCCTCCCTGTGAGCTGTAGAAGATGAAACTAGCCAGCTATCAAGTGCAGATGGAAGAGATCGATGCCAAGTCACAAGGATGTCTCTAAGGAATCAGGCAACAGAAACTGGAGTGAAAAGGGCCCATTCTTTCGGAGTTGACAGAGAAAGAAAGCCTTCCCTTGGAGCCAGCGCCCTGAATTTGGGCACCCAGCTTCCTAAACGGTGGGCAGATAAGTTGGTCTGCTGAAGTCACCTGTCTGTGGTGTTGCTGCTGCAGCAGCCCGGGGGAACTGAGAAGGCAGCTGAGAGCCTACGCGTTTGTGCCGCCCAAGGACAACCAGAGAGACATTTTGCAGGGCCTATAAGATCTATAAAACTATCAGCTGTTCTGTAGTTGAAAGCCAGCAAGGTACTCAGGTCCTTAGAGGTCCAGGATCACTGGCCACAGCAGAAATAACCCCTCTTGACAGGACTAAGGGCCATCCTTTTGACCCTTCATCATTCGGACAGGCCCGCTTGGGACAAAACGTGGGTCTTGCTTGAGATAACTCACTGAAGGGAGAACACTGATGATAAAAGATAACATCCTGATATTTCTCCAGCAAATCTCAATGGCTCACCTACCCCAAATTATAAGAAAAGGGCAAGTTAGACCCATCGCGTCACTACTTCCATCTTCTTTCCTTGGGTTAGATGGATCCTTACTGCCCCAGTCACCCACTCACACCTACACAAAACCCAACTCACTGCCATCCTGAGACACTTTGATCTGTGAGGTCTGTGTACAGCAACCCCCATCGCCAGGCATTAGCCACTTACTCTCCACGTGTAACGCAGTTCATGCAGTAGGGGGCACACTGCTAACAGCGGATCCGCCAATAGTCTCCACATGGAGAGAGAGATTTGGGCCTTCGGCTTGCTGAAACCAGGCAGCAGGGTTTAGGGAAAGGCACAGTGGCTGCTAGCCCTTGCAGAGGAAGGGAGTGAAGGCAGCTTCAAGCACGGGGTGTTGGGGCCCAGCTGTGGGTAAAATCCCTTGCCTGCTACAGTTGAATCACGATACCTCAAGACTACCTATCTGTGGGTTTCACCAGTGAGCGGCTGGTGTCACCAAACAGACAGCTTCTCCCCTCGGGCCACCTCCAGAAAAGAACAGTTAAGGGGAGTTCTAGATCCAAACTGCACAAATCACTCAGTTAGGATAGGATGGAGGCTTTGATCCTCTGAGTTCATTTTTCCAGCAGCCCCGTGAGGGCCTCCTCGTAGGGGTGCTGGACCTGAGTCATTCCCACTGAAGCACGAGCAGGTGGACCTTCAGGCTGTCAGCTTGCTTGTTGGCAAGGTGTGGCAGTCATCATTAGCCTCATAGAGCAGCAGTTCTCAACCTGTGGGTCGAGACCCCTTTGGAGGTGAAACGACCCTTTCACAGGGGTTGCCCGATTCATAACAGTAGCAAAATAACAGTGATGAAGTAGTAACGAAAATAATTCTATGGTGGGGGGGTCACCACAACGTGAAGAACTGTATTCAAGGGCTGTGACATTAGGGAGGCTGAGAACCACTGTCATGGAATGCTACCAGGGATTTGCATATTCCCCACAGATGGAAGGATGGATGTAGCAGAGAGATTACTAACCACGTGGTCTCCGTAGCCAATGGGATGTGGAGAATAAAAGTTACTTTCTATATCTCTCTGGAACACTGTGAATCCAGGGCACTCACAATTCATTTGCAATTGTACATGGCGATCTAAGTCATTCATTTATCAATACGATCATTCAGGTAAATAGTAATTGGGCCTAATACTATTACTAAACAAACTTACTGCCATAGAATCGAAGCTGCAACCCTACAAGACAGAGTAGAAGTCCCTCTCCGAGTTTCTAAGACTGCAACTCTTTACGGGAGTAGAAACCTCTGTCTTTCTCTCACAATGTGGCTGGTGGTTTTGAACTGCTGACCTCGAGGTTAGCAGCTCAATGCATAATGATGACACCACCAGGGCTCTCCAACAATGAGCACATTCTGCTGAATGGAAACAAGAAATAAACAACAAAAAATACTGAGTTTTACATC